AGTCATTCGCTTCATCCTCCCAACGATCCCAAAAGGCAGGTGCTACCACCATCCCTTTTTGTAGGTGAGAGATCTGCGGCACAGAGAGGTTAAGCCCCTTGCCCAGGGTCACACAGCAGGGTCTAGAAGTTGTGCTTTTCACCACTAAAATATGTTAACTGGGGGCCTCGCCACCCCTCCTGGAAACACTTGGGAATCAGGGCTGACAGATACCTGAGCTGTCGGGAAGGGAAGATCTCCCCGAAGGGCAGTGGGCCCTCGCTAGAGAATGGGAAGCCTTCCTTCTACAATGGGGGAGTCGACCAGACCCAGGGGAGCTAATCTGGGGTGGAGATGTGTGCAGCCTCTCTAGGGCCTGACCAGGAGGGTGAGAAGGCTCTGTCCTGTCCAGTCCCCACACCCCTGTCCCTCAGGGCCCTCCCAAAGACCAGAGGCTGTTGGAACATTCTCTGGCTAATGTCACAGGGAAGGAGCGCTGGTGCAGAGGGATCACTGTGGCTTCCTCCGGCCTGGCCCAGCTCATTTGCATACCCCACAGGGTGTGGCAGAAGTGACAGAGCAAACACTTAAGAAGCAGGCACTGTTAAAAGTGCTTCACTTATAACAGGTTCATCTAATCCTCCCCATAACTCTAGGAGGTAGGAGCTGTTTTCACCCCCGCACTATGTCAGAAGGAACTGAGGCATGGGACAACTGCCTGTCCAAGGTCACACAGCCATGGAACGGTACAGGTGGGATTTGAACCCAAGGAGTTCGATGCCGGTTTCACCCAAACCCTTGGTGGCTCATAGAAGTGGGGAGTCAAAATCTTCGCTGTCCTCAGCACTAATTGAGAAAGCATTGCCCAGTGTCCGGCATGGAGCACTTGACATTGAAAAATGTTCCACCGCTTCCTCCCAACCCTGATATTACATGGCTCCCCACTGGGGGCTGAGCTGGGAATCTGGACCTGTCATCTCACCAGACTGTAACCAAACCATGGCAGGGAGAGGGGAGGGAGGGGCTCTAATTGGACCCTTCGGGCCCACTGCTGCATCTTCCTGAGGCCAGAAAGGGGGCTCAGGGGAGCAGAGCAGGGAGTGGGTGGTTTGGGTAAGACTCAGGTTCTGTTGGAGATGCTGGTCCTGGCTCTGGGCTGAAGCCCAACCGCCTGGGGCAGCAAAGCCTTGGGAACTCACTCAGCAAAAGCCCAAGCAGGTGCCTCACCTAGAAAGCAGAAGCGGGAATGAAGAGGGCCTCAACTACAGAACTATGGCCAAGCTGCCCTAGATCCCACCCCTTGCCACAGGGTAAGGTTCTGGAAAGGCCCTCACAGACTCTCAGGCTTGAACTCCACCCCATCCTGCCCGGACCACAGCATAGTCATGCTTCATGCTCCTAAGCACCACGTAGTACTGGCTCTCAAACACTCCCTTCCCCTTTCTCGGTGAAGCCCTGTGGTCTCCCCAGACTGGCTATGGGAAAACCAAGGGTGCATTACTGCTAAGTCATAGTCACCCACTTACCCCTGCCCCTTTGAACAAGAGTCACTAGTTACTGAGGACATTGGACATGCCAGATCCCGTCCTAGGCCCTCTTCATGCGTCAGCTTACTTAATCCCCCTGATGACCTTGAGGTAGATATCATCCTTGTTTTGCACATAAGCAAACCAAAGCTCAGAGAGGATAAGTGACTTAATCAAGGTCACACAGCAGCAATATGGGAAACCCTGGCAGAGTCCGGGGCCCGTAATCTGTCTCCTTTGACCTCGGGCTTCTATAGACCTTCATCCAGGAAGATAGTACACTCCCTTCCAGGGCCACGTCCAGTGGCCGGAGCCTAGTGCTGGCCCCTGGCCCCTGGCCCAGTCATTTGGCAACACCCATTGGCTTCATTAATGTTTAGGGAATGTCAATACTTTTGAGGGACTCCTGCCTCTAGGCCCCCATCTCTCCTGCCTGACCAAACCTTAAAGCAGCTTGGACTCAGTCCTAGAAAGTTAGAGCAAGGAGTGAGCTTATAGCAGAGAAAACCTCTAGTCCGATTCCTCTGTACACCTGGGTAAACTGAGGCCCAGAAAGCAGCTCTCCCCCCCAAGAGTCCTCAGCAGTAGCTGGGCCTAGAGCCTTGGTCTTTTGCTCCTGAGCAATTAAAAACAAGTTTTGGGTGGGTGAATCCTTGTAGCACAATGAACAGTCATAAGACAGAGCCTAGAATTAAAAGTGGGGCCAGGCTGGGATGCTCTGGATAGAGGAATTCAAGTTCACTTCCCCACTCAGCCCTGGAGGGATGTTGCGCTGTGCAAGTTCTAACTTGACCACGAGGGAGGCAGGGAACAGCCGCATGTGCAAAATGCACACAGACGAAGGTCACCTGCTGAGCAAACACATTCTGGCCCCCACCTAGGAGGGGCTAGCGGGTCACATAAATGAGTGAGCAGGCCAGCAGAGGCCTGGGGTGAGCTGGAGGGCAAGAGTCCTATAAAAGGTGGTGACTCTTCGGCTCTGGCCTGGGGTTGCCACATCATCTGAGTCTTCAAGAAGCTCCAAAAATCAGTATTTGTATATGAAATTCTATGTTTGTTTTTTTTTTTTTAAACACTGGCCACAAATGCAAACATGAGAAAAACACTAACAGCATCGACAAAATGTGTCTAGAAGCTGTATTTTACAACAGGTGCTATACAGCAGGCTGGGCTCTAGGGTGGACACAGCCCTTGCAGCGTGGACAAGACAGACAAGGTCTCATCCCCCAGAGCTTGGGATCTAGGGGTGGAGATAAGGTCTCCCAGCACACAGAGACACGTGCCACTATCTCCAAGCCACCAACCAGCAACCAATCCAACTCAGCCCTGAGCTCCCGGTCAGGCCAGGTCAGATCGAAAGGGGAGGTGGGGGCAGAAGGCTGCTCCGGAGGCAGCCTATAGCAGGGCTTCTCAGGTGAAGGGACCGGCCCCCCAGTGGAGGGCGGGAGTCAGAGGACACGGAGGAGAGGAGCCAGAAGTGTGAGACGGTGAGTGGGGAGTGAGAGCGGACGTCTGAGAGGTGGGTTAGGGCCAGTGCAGGGGCCTCGCTACAAAGGGCCTGGACTTTATTCCAGACTCAGCAGGGAGCCACTGCAGGTTAGGGAAGAGGAAGATCTTACTCTCTGGCCTCTTGATGTTTTTCCCTAGTCACAATGAGTCAAATCTCTGCAACTCAGCGTCTCACTCCACTCCCTTGCCCGTGGGTCATATGATAAGGCTCCGGGCTCCCGGGAACCCACTGGAAATGAACTCCTTCGGAGAGGGAGGAGACACACCTGAGTGCTCCTCGTGGCCCAACTGTGATCTACATTCTGCAGAGTGAGTGGCTCACTCTCTGTCATTATCCCTGGGAGATGCCACGCGCTTGCCCAAGGTCACCCGGTCTTCAGAGCAGCTGGCTCTCTCCACGGCTTGGGCTGAGGGGGTCTGCCTCAACTGTCCTTGAATGTGCAGGAAGGGCTGCAGGAGATCTGGGCTGAAGCACCCCAACCTCTTCTCCTGCTGGTCATATCCTCTCCCTTGGGTCAAGGCCAGCAGCAGGTGGGGTGGGGGCACTTGGTAGTGGGAACAGGGGAGAAGAGGGATCAGTCTCCAGGCTTAGGGCTTCCAGGTCTGCAGCAGGAGGAGGGTCAGGTGCTTCAGGTGTGGGGTCAGAACTGGTCAACTGGACCTGACCAGGCCTACCTCCACGGGCCCAACAGAGAGTGTCTGCTTTTAGTCTGCAAACTAAAAGCAGTCCCAGGGCCTGACAACCACAAGAGACCAGGAAAAGGGGATCAGAATGTAGCAGGGGGAAAAAAAAAACAACCAAAACACCTTGACTCCATTGCCTGGCACATCACAGACACTAGCTAAAGGTTTGTTGAATGAATAAATGAACAAAGGAACTCCCAGTGGGGCTACCTGTATCAAGTCCTGCCTTCCTCAGCATTGTAGCTTGCCTGCAGAGGGCTCAGAGAGAAGAGACTGGGGGAACCCCAGCAGCCCTGAGTGTGTTGTTTCCTCGGCGCGGTCCGGCCGCTTCCCAGGATCTCTGATCCAGAATTTCAGGGTACAACACCCGCTGGGCCCCTCATCTTCCCAGGAGCGGCAGAGCCTGGGGTCCTGGCCGTTACTGAGAGCCGGGCTTGGCCTGGCTTTGTATAGCCTGGAAAGCTAAAGCAAAAACCTAGAATGGTCTCTTGGTTGTCCAGGACACGCTGATCCAGCCTGAGGTTTGGCCCTGGGTATTATGGAGGTCGGGAAGAGAAGGGAAGGAAGGATCTGCTGGCCCTAGGGCGCATGGGGACAGAAAGGTGCCCTGACCTGAAATGGCTTCTTGGTCCAGACTACCTCTCCTCCCCAGAGATCAGTGCCTCACTTTGGAAAGAGCTTGCCCCCTCCTGCAAAACATACACAGTATGGCCTGGGGGAGACCTTCCCTGTGGCCTGGGTGGGGGGCCATGGAGTCACAGAGAAAATACGGGATTCCCACCCATTCTCTCAAACACACCCCTTCCTTGCCCTCTCACAGACAAAGACACACACCCAATGCTTCGGCTATCACCCTAGGGCCACACACCGCAGGCCCCCTCACCTGTGGACGTCCCCAAATCTCCTCCCAGGGGGACTTCACTTGAAAACTCAGCCTCGCCTTGGGGGGAGGGGTATATATATACTCCAAGGGCCGAGAGTCCAACAGCCCCAGGATCACAGCTTTGCGGGGCGGGGGAGCGGGGGGTGACTCTCCACCCTATTTCCTCCTCTCCGTGGCATAAGGGGCTCTGCCACTACTCCCCTGGGAGGCCGGGGAGCAGCGCCCAAACCCCAGGGCTAGGGTGGGGGGTGGGGGAAGGGAGAGGAGGAGGGGGCGGCTCCTCCAAGCGAGACACAAAGAGACGTCCTTCAGCCTCGGCTCCATGGCGACGCTGGGGAGGGGGCAGTGTGCACCCAATACTTCCTTCCCCACCTGCAGGGCTAGGGACCTCGGCAGCCACTCACCTGGGCCCGGCTTACCTGGGCTGGGGCCGCGGGGACGCCGCGGCAGGGGGCCTGGGCGCCGTCTCGGTTTCCGTCAGCCCGGCCCGGGGGGGGCTCAGGGCGCCACAACCATGGGCTGGGATGCGCAGGGCGCGGCGAGGGGCTCAGTCGCCAGGGTCCCGGAGCTTTGAGGGGGGCCCCGAGGCCTCTTGCTGGTGAGGGATAGCTCTTGCTGTCCTCGGTTCCCTAGATTTGGGGTTCCTGTGTACCGGAATTGGGGGGATCTAGGAACCCCCTGATCTAGGGACGTTCTGAGCTGGGTCTTCGTGTCTTGAGGTGTGGAGTTGTAATGACCAGGTTCTTGACAGGGGGTCCCAGCAATCCCGGACGAGGGGGTCACTGCGTTCTAGGTCTTGGGGGGGCCCAGATTGAAGAGGGGGAGTCTTAGCCGTACCGTAGGGAGGTCACTGTCTTCTGAATACGGAGGAAGTCTCCGCTTTCCCCAGCTGGGGAGTAGCTCTGTGTTGGATCTGGAGGGGTCTCCCGGTTTCTTGGGGGGGGGGTCTCTGGGTCCTGGATGTGGTGGGGGGGATCCCCGCTCTCCCCGGCTGCGGGGGCTTGCTGAGTCCCGGCCACCGGCAGAACTGGGAGGAAGCCCCTCAGCCGCTGGGGGGCTCCGTTGCCGCCGCTACGAGCAGCCCGGCCCTGCGGTCCCGGACCCCGGCCTGGTCCGGGCTCTGGCTGCGGCTCCGGCTAGCGATCCGCCCGGTGCTCGGGCCCCGGCGCCGGCGCCCGCCCGGGCAGCGCTCCATCGCTGCATCGCGGCTCCGCCCTCTGGCCCGCGCGCACCTGCCCGCCTGGCCCGCGGCTCCGCCCTCCGGCTCGCGCGCCACCGCCCGCCCCTTTGTCCGCCCTGCTTGGCGCGCGCTTTCGCGCACGCGCACTCCCCTCGGCGCGCGCTCTCCCTCCCGCCGCGCCCTCCCGCCGCGCGTCGCGGGGCGCAGATTCTCCCCGCGCAGAGGGAGCTGCGCGGCGCCCCCACCCCGCCTTCCGGCCGCGCTGGGTCCTAGCGCCCGTGGGCGCCATCTCCCTCTTCCCACCCCCGTCTTTTCTAGGTCAGAGCCCACGGGGGGGCAAGAACGAGGTTAGAGATGACTCGAGGGAGTCTGAGAGGGTCACCTGGTCCAGCCTCCTGGCCCCTACGGGACCAGACTGCCCTAGACTGTCCCAGTCTGTTCTTGTGAGGCGGAGCATGTGTCTGTTTCAAAGAGGGAAACAGCCAAGCTCTGCAATCGCATGTGCATTCATTCATCCGTTAATCTCTGTCTGTCCTGTCTGCCCATCCATCCATCCATCCATCCATCCATCCATCCATCCATCCATCCTATTTTGAGCGACACGACACTTCGGAGAGCTACCAGTCTACTCTGGGAAGAGGTCTCAACTGGGGCCTCCGGGCTGTGACCAGCCCAGGTAGTGTGTGTGACTCTCGATGTGAACAGCCAGTGACTAGTCCTGGAATGCAGCTGATAAGCACAGTGCTCACTGGAGAGAAAGGAAAGGGGATTCCAAACCGGGAGCAATGTGTGCAAAAGCACTACCTGGGTGTGAAAGGAGCATTATTCGATACTGGAAATCTACTGGAAATCGGTGGCTTGGAAGGAAGTGGGGTAGATGAGGATGGGATTGAGATAGGGACCTCTCATCCTCCTAGACCCTATCCCCCCCCCCCCGCCCCCTTCCTCCGACTGGTGCATGCACCCCAGCCACACGGTTTCATTAATGAGAAAGCCCCCAACACACCTTCCATATTTCTTCTCTTTGTTCAGGCTGTTTTCTCCACCCAGCATACTCTTCCCAACCACCCAGACTGTTTTTTGGAACCAGGGATTGCAGACTCAAGTACCTATGGATCACATAAATTAGTGACTGGGGTCAGGCGTCGGGTGATAGGAAGTGGTGGAGATGAGGCAAACTGGAACCTCAAGGGCTTGTACGGATGATTTTTCCAGAGAAGCAGGAAATTCATATGGTGTCTTCCAACTTCAATATTTGAAACTAATTCCCAAGTTTGGAAATACTGAAGGAGCCAAATGAAACCCACTTTGGGGTCAAATCTAGCCCAGGGGCCATCATTTTGCAACTTCGGCTTCTGAGAATATTGCCTTGGTTCCCGGCTTTTCTTCTTCCTGCTTCTTTCTCTTTTGTTCTAGAATCCAAGTACTATGTGACCATCAGCTCTGTAAAATACAAGGTGGAATGGGTTGCTCCTCTGCATAAAATTGCCAAGGACACCCTGTTACTTCCAGGGCAAAAAATCTGACTTCCTTATCCTGGTGTTTAAAGCCCGCAGACTTCAAGTCTCTACTCCTTTCTCTACTGAGGTCCCCTCTTCTCCATTAAGCCTTGAACTTAGCCAGGGCTCCCAGAATATGTGCTTTCTCATAGCTCTGTATCTTCATACACTTGGTTTCCTTTGTTTAGAAACATTTCCCCCCCTTCTTCCTTCTCTGAGCAGGTTATCCTGTGAGAGATCTCTTCTATGTGTGCTTTTCCTCTCTCACCCTTCCCTGTCCTGCTAATGTTCCAGAGTTGCAAATTTCACCCTCTGTTCTACTCCTCTCCAAGTAAGGCCTTATTGCCCCAAACTAATGGAGGGTTTGGGTTATGGGGCAGGCAGAAGCGAGAGACTAGAGAGGGGAAAGAGGGAAGTAAATGTCTTCCTGTGTCTAATAAACCGAGTCCCAGAACTTATAGAATTTAGAGTGCAGTTTCCCCTTGTTACAGACGAGAAAACTGAGACTGAGAGAGGGGTAGCAGCAGAATCTGGCCTTGAAATGCTCTCGGCCATGGTTATTAAGGGTTGTCAAGGCCGCCTTCTGCAGAGCCTTCCCCGATTCCTCACCTGGGGAATTCAGTCACGTACAACTAGAAAATGTTTGCTAAGATGGATTGTGGGTATTCAAACCCCCTTTCCCAAGCCCCCAAGCTCTGCAGGGTGAGAAATCCTGGTCCCCAAAGGGGGCACACCCTTACCAGGGTATACATCAAAGGTCTCATTAAAATTTAAGCTATGGCTGCTGCCAAGGTACTTTATTTTTTTTTATTTTTTATTTTTTAAATGTTTTATTTATTTCTAGGAGAGAGAGAGAGAGAGACAGCGTGAGCAGGGGAGGGTCAGAGAGAGAGGGAGTCACAGACTGAAACAGGCTCCAGGCTCTGAGCTGGCAGTCAGCACAGAGCCCGACGCGGGGCTCGAACCTACGAACCATGAGATCATGACCTAAGCGAGAGTCGGACACTCAACCGACTAAGCCACCCAGGCGCCCCTGCCAAGGTACTTTAGAACTCACATATTTGGAACCTGCAGGTAAGAAGAACGAGTCACTTCTCTGGCAGTAAAAATTGACCCTACTCTGTTACTAGAAGTTACTAGAAGCGCTCTGATTAGTTACTAGAAGAAGGCAGGGCTGCTTTTACAAAATGGGAGCAGGGGGAAATACATGTAGAACCCAGTGAACCATTGGAGTGAAACATTGGTTATGATAACCAAGACTTTAGGCCCTTCAGGACTGAAGGGTTGGGTCACACCACACCACCTGGTGATCCATCAAGAATGGCCAAGATGATAGTTGAGAGTGTGGATAACTAAGAACGGATAGTGAAGGGGGAAAGGACAGGTACCAGTTATGGCCCCGAGATCAAGTACAGCAAGGGGGAGGGGCTGTAGTTCACATCACTAACCACCCTCCTCATGGTTTCCGTTTAGAGAGACTGGAGGCATCCATGGAGGAGCTGTGTGGCACGAGGTGGGGAGGGGGAGGATGTGGCAGCCATGAAAGTGCGCCACCCAGATCTCTGACTGTAGGGGCTGGTGACTGCCGAGGGCAGCAGAAGCGGAGCCTTTCCGCAGTTCACAGAGGAGGCTCCACTTTGCTCCCCTCTAGCTGATCCCAGTCAATGATTGAGTCCAACCAAGGTACTAAAGCATCCAGTTCGTTAGACACAGAGCTTCCCTGATGGGCAACTAGGGATTGAAGACTTGCCATTGGCTTCATCGACACTTTCTTAGCATTCTTATCCCACCTTCCTTCCTTCGTTCCCCATTGCAAGATTTGGATCTACTGAGCCCGATGGTTCTCCCAGTCTCCTCCGGCTCCTTTCTGATTTTCCCGCCCAAGCATTTTCCTTAGTAAGATCACTTGCACATCTGACCCCATCTTGGCCTACTTCTCAGAGGACTGAGCCAACACGGCATATCTGAAGAGAGGAACTAAAATAGCTATTCATAATGCAGCAGTCCCTTTCACTTGACACCTGGGGATAATCCATTCCTGCCAGCTCAATGTTTTGTATCCACAGTGATGCTGCCCTTCCCGATAGGGTCTTGACGGCTGTGATCTGGACACACAAAGATAAAGCCTGGCTATGATTTCCGCAACAACCCAGAAGAAACATCAGGAAGCAGAGATCTCCATTTGGGTTTCCTCTGCCTGGGGCCCACACTCTTCAATGCTCGGGAGTCCTCATACTCTTAGGCAGTCAGTTTGCTGCTCCTTATTCGTGGAAGCTCGTGAGGCCAGGGACCCCAGGACTTCCCTTTGACTGCATCTTGCATTCACGGATGTATCACAAGTCTCTGCTGCCATTGTGGGGATCAGGGAAGGAGACAAAACAGAGCCCCTGTCCTTTAGAATATATACATCGTGTTTCAAACTATACGAGTTTGGGTAATTCAACCAGCTGTACTGAAAGCCACCTGGGTGGCTCAGTCGGCTAAGCGTTGGACTTCAGCTCAGGTCATGATCTCACAGTTCGTGGGTTTGAGCCCCACGTCGGGTTCTGTGCTGACAGCTCAGAGCCTGGAGCCTGCTTCGGATTCTGTGTCTCCCTCTCTCTCTGCCCCTCCCCTGCTTGCTCTCTCTCTCTCTCTCAGAAATGTTTATTGAATGAATAAATATTAAAAAAGCAAAAAATTGGGGCACCTGGGTGGCTCAGTTGGTTGGGCGTCTGACTTTGTTTTGGCTCAGGTCATGATCTCGCGGGCTGTGGGTTCGGGCCCCGCGTTGGGCTCTGTGCTACTCAGAGCCTGGAGCCTGTTTCAGATTCTCTCTCTCTCTCAGAAATAAATAAAACATTAAAAAAAGTAAAAAATTAAAAAGATGATATGTGGGTCATATTTATAGTCCCAAAGCTGTGGGAAAATGATGGCATTTGGGGACTTCCCCAGTGTGGTCTATGTTCTATGATGCTCCTATTGCTCACGTTCTCAGTTATGACAATGAGAAGGCTTCCTGGCCTGCTGGTCTGTATTATGATGGTAAGAAGAACCCTCCGCCCTGATGGCCATCTGCACAGGGCACTGCTGCCGGTGGCCAACTCCTCAGCATGGTCAGAGATCCTGGTGACATTGGTGACTTAGCAGTTCAGAGAGCAGACCAGGTTTAAGAAGCCGAAGATGATGACATCTTGAGCCAAGGTTCCAGAAGGTGTTCTGAGCCAGGGATGGGAGCATCCAGGGCCCCCTGGGAGACACAGGTCAAGCTACTGCCAATAATGAAAACCCAACCAATCCACCAGAACCCAAGATGGATCAGAAGGAAGGCAGCAGAGTAGCCCCGGCTGTGTAGCAGCTGGGGGTGATGGATCTTTGAATCTCTCATTACCTTTCTGGCGCATATATTCTGAAGTGAGAAACACGGTGTTCCAGCAAGAGTTCCGATGAGCTCCCCACCTCCTGT